CTTCTGTGTCCTTTCTATAACTCCCTGCATTCCCACAGCCTTTCCTATACCTGGAGAAGTGCCACAGAATGACCCCTGAACTTCCAGCACCATTCCAGTTGTATAGGTGCATGCATTCATTGAGATATAACAGTTCCTGGGAACACCACAGCTAAGGAACTTGCTGAGGCCTGTTGGGAAGAGGGGAGAATAGTGGTGAGAAAAAATAGTTTCCTAAAGTATTTGGAAAGGCTTTGCTTACTGCTGTCTTCCTTAACTATCAAAGAGAAAGGTATTTTGAGATGGAATCAAAAGAACTTGAAATGACTAGAAATGACTAGAAATACAGCACTGAGCCTGTATAGTAGTGTATCTTGCCCGGTGTTCTCCCCCGGCCAGTAAAATCAAAGAGTTCAGTGGGCAAACACTTACTGAACTCCCGTGTGCCAGGCTCTGTGGTAGGGATTGGGTATGCAGAGGTGAGTAACGTACTGTTCCCACCGTGGGGGAAGACAGTCTAGCGGGGGAGACACAAATAGCTATATAAATGAATAATTACAGATGCCTTGCCATTTAGAGTTTTAGAAGTCTTTGGGACTGCTGAGGGAGTACGAGAAGAGGAAGTGCTCAGCTTTGCCTGGGGGAATCAGGGAAGGCTTCCTGGGTAAGGTGATGTCAGAGTTGGATCTTAAAAGAAGTGAGAGAGAGAGGCAACAGCCTGGCGAACTTGCAGTGACCAGTGTTTCAGTGTGGTCATAGGAAGGGATTCAAGCTGGGGAAATTGAGAAGAGATTGTGGGAGACTGGAGAGAGGTGGAGGCCAGATTTTGATGACCCTTGTGGGAAACAGCGAGTTGGATTGGTGAGGCTGTAGTTGCGAGTGGTTCTGCATTTGAGATTTTGGCCAAGCGTTCTTTCTGTTCTTCAGTCTGCCTTTTTGGTTTGTGGATTGTTACAATTATGAATTTCTTGGCTGCTATGCAAAGGCAGTGGAGAATTTTATTTATTAAATGCCCGCAGTGGGCCTAGCCCTATTTATTACATCTTCTGTGGAGGATACAGAAAAAAATGCAAGGTTTCTACGTTTGAGGAGCTTACCAATTAATTAACAAGGGAGAATTGAAGTTCATGGCCACCTTCCTGCCCACTCACAGCACTCTGAGATTTTGCAGTTTATTCCCGTCATTTTGGCATTTCAGAACTAGATAAAAAAGAGTGTTATTTGCAAATGTCATGATTTCACTTTGCACTCATTCCAGACATTGTGAAAATGGCCTGAATGCGGTGTTAACAATATGAAGCTCACTCATCCGTTGGGGGCTGGCTTTTTGAGAAGTACTTAGCTAAAATCCCCCCTTAGGTTCCATTGGCACTTGAGAACCATGGCCAGGTGGGGACTAGCAGGTTCTCTCTGTGTGCTGAGCTAGATTAATGTTTCCTAGTTTTTGGTCACTTGTGTACCATCTTCACAATTTTTTGTCAGATTGTTCATTATTCTGTTATTTGCTTGATTTTTTTTTTAAGTTTCACTTCTTATCTTCATTCTAAGCAACAGTTATCTATGTGATTATGGGTTTGATATAGTATGTATTGTGTGTGTGAGAGAGAGAGAAAGAGAGACATTAAATATCTTATTTAAAAAAGTTATTTTTAAGTCTATGTTCTGCCTAAAAATTTCTATTATACCTTAGGAAACTAAAGTGGATTCATAATAGAGTCTCAAGGAGGAAGGGACTACCTACACCTACCTAGATCAAGCCCCATGGTGATATTTGAGCCCTTGTTCATATTTTTAGGAGGAACATTTGAGATTATTTTACTTATGGCTTAATATGCGAAGACTAAAATTGACAGACAAGTAGGCAAGAAAAATTACTTGAGTGGAAATGAAAGAACCTTTAGTTGGAGAATGGAAAACTATTAAGAATGTTACAGAAATGGAACAGAACAGAGGTGAGGTGTCATGTGACCATGGAATATTGTGTTGGCCTGAGTTCCTAGGGCCCACCGCCAGCTCTGGGCCAGAGTTTGTGGGGAACCCTTATGCTAAAAGAGGTTTGCTGACATGGATGGGAAGGAGAACAGGACCTCTGGGAATTCTGAGGCTTTTTGTTGAGTTCTCTTATTTTAAAGTCGGTGCTAGTACTAATACTTTCAATGTCCTGGTAGAGGGCAGGCATGAGGGGCACATCATCATTTGACTTCATTTAAAAGTCATTGTTGGGGAGTATATATTTTAAGAAACTGCACTTGATCTAGTAAATGATTTTAAGGACTTTGGTTAAAATAAAGTATTGATCATTTACATTTAATGAATTTTTATTTCCTTTTCAAATGCTTGAACCAGACATTTTTATTTCAAATTGAACCAGGAAATAGTTGAGTTTGGTTTTGTGATCAGAAATGTTATCTTTTATTGTGAAATATTTCTGTCATCTGGTGTGTGTGTACATTTTGTTTAAAAAGGTGAATGTCAGATTTAGTTTCCTGATATTTATGTATTTACTTACTTAATTTTATTATTATTATTTTTTTTATGTATCTCTACCCCCAACATGGGGCTCGAACTCACGACCCCAAGATCAAGAGTCGCACGCTCCGCCGACTGAGCCAGCCAGGTGCCCCGGTTTCTTGATTTTTAAAATGAAATACATAATAGGGAGTTTGCATTGCAGTTTGGACTGAGTCTAGAAAGATCATTGTTTTATAGTGCTTCTCCCATATGGACTAAGTACATATTGCGTTAATTTTATTATATTTTTATTTTCTGTTATAAATGTGTTTGGTATGTTGTTTTGAGGCAGTTTGTGCTCATAATTTCAGCTGAATTTTATGGACAAATGAACATCATAGATTTTAGGCTTATAATTCCCTTTAATCTGTTTAATTTTTTGTTTAGATGTAGAAATGCAAAATTTACTAAGGCTAGTGTTTCTGAAGGACTGGTCATTTTCTAATACATTCTGCAGTCAATATTTTGTCCTAAACTATTTATTTATTTATTAAAAATTTTTTTAAGATTTATTTTAGAGTGAGTGAGTGGGGGGAGGGGCAGAGGGAGGGAGGGA